AGTATTGATCCTTAAAATATATAAACTAAGAAAGAAATTTTATCTTAACTAAATACATTTTTTTTAATTTATAATTAAAAAAAATACAAAAGAATTCCCTAGAAGGGGAAGGGAAAAAGACGTTGCGGTAACCTGGTTTCTGGTGAACCTATTAGCTTGTTTTCGAAGGCGTGAGGCAAGTGACGCGAAATTTCGGTTATTAATCTACACCTCCTGCTTGCTGCGTTCTATTTAGCCGCCAGTTGAATGTGGCCCCGGGTGCAAGTAGAGGTCTATGGGGCTACCATTGACTGGGACTTAGAGCCCCCTGACCTCATAGAGGGGGATCTGGTCGAGCTTACGATCCCTGGACGCAGCATTCGACACGCTGACGGCCAGTTCGCGTGGAGGTCCATAATCCTGTCCGAGGACGTGTGGCTYTGGACGTACAGAGAGCACCGGTCGGGGCAAGGAGTGGGCGTAGTGAGAGCCTACTTGTATTTGGGACCGGGTGCGGTCAAGGAGGCCGTGGTGGGCCTCGCGACGACAGAGACTAGTGACGCAGTTAGCAGGGCGTTACGCTACCTAGGGGAAGAGGTAGCGGCTTTCCGAGCGGAGGACGCGAGCGACCCGTTGACCCTATTTCACGGACGCCCTCCTCTTGATATCACGGGCGAGCTCGTGGTAGCACGGGACGGGTTTTTCCCGTATAGCGTTAGGAGCCTGCGGGCGATAGTTCCGACGTTCGTAGTAGAGAGCGTCTTTGGCGGTATTGGTGGAGTGGTCGAGACATACCTGGCCTATCAGGATCTCAAGATCCTGGCGAGAAGGCCTGCCGACCTAGACTACATCTATTATTCGCTTGCGACCGGTGGGCCTCGTTGGGGAGACGAGAGGRTTCAGCTTATAGAGCTGATCCGCTCGATAGACGACGAGTGGCCCCAGCCTTCGTGCGTTTGGGATTGGCTAGACCGTGAGCTCCGAGCAGGCCCCGAGTACGTGACTTGCATCGGGCGGCTCTTCTCAGACGACTGGGGGAGCTGGTGGAATGAGGACGCCGGGTGACCTCTGATATACGGCCATCAGCTGACGGAATACTACCAAGCCATATGACAGGCGCCATATCGCGTCGAGGACGAGTTTGACGACGAGGGTTGGGAGCGAGAGGACGACGAGGAGCTGTGGGAACCAGACTGGGTCGACCCAGAGAGTGAGGTTGACGAGGAGGAGATTGAYGTTATAGACGCCCATTTTCCCAGGATAGGAGTAGCGGTCCGGGCGTAGGAGGTAGAGGAGCGCGCCAGGGCAACGGATGAGTGAGCCTGGTTCCTGAACCTATTCGACCATACTGGACCTGAGTGCGAGAGTTGTCAGAAGGGTTAGCAACGTCGAGAGATGGGGTGTATCGGAGGGAGTAGAGTGATGCTGACCGAGAGTAGGAGAAGAAATGAGGAGTGATTCAGCGGCCTTGTTAGCTTATGTTTTCTCACGAGAGTCCGAATCGTATAGTGTGAGGAAGCTTGTGGGACCCAGAGAGACGGCGATTGGATACGACATACCACTTCCTGTGGCGTTAGAAGAGGCAGGGC